TCCAACACTCTACCCATTGGGCCACGGATGAGGGAGGCTGACAAAGCGTGTTAAAGGATCTATTCAATTTTTATAGGTAAATTGATTGCGACCATGACAACGGATAGTGATATGACCATAGATCGAGCATCAAAACAGAAAGAGGTGAGTATGGGCCGTAACGCGTTTGGCAGGCGCCCATATACCACATAAATGTATAAAACAATCCATAATTTTCAGAAATGATTAAGATAATATCTATAACGAGAGTATGATATAACAACTTTGCTAATGAAATTTCAAAATCCATGTTGTGCTGCTTTTAGCAGAATGGGTGGTATGTGGCTACTAGATAGTACTTTAATGTTTTCGGCTCATTAAAATTTCGGGTCTACCCTAAAGAGACACGATCCGGACAAACAATTTCTGAAAATATTAGCTTGATTATTCTTTGGAGTTCATTCATTGGAAACTGAAATTTAAACGTTGGGGACCCACTGAGGAACAAAAAGCCTCGGAACTGTATGACGCAGTAGCAGGAATACCGTTGGAACATGTGCCTGGGTTTTCAGCTAGTACCTGTGTCTGGATTATTGTATAACAGCTTTGGATGCCCCAATTTATCTTCGAAACAGAGCTAGATGGAAAAATTCCTTTCCCATATGCTCTTGTGTATAAACATACTAACATGGTATTGTAAAATTCAGGTTAACATAAAGCCGCAGACTCCGAGGTAATCACACTTTTGGGAGTAACTAGCCCATCTCTCATAAAGCTCACAAAAAAAGCTACGTTAGACCAAAACCAACTGTTCTGATGAGGAAATTTATCGAATAGAAAAAAATGCTCCTTTTCGACATATTTTCCGAAGACGGTTCCCGCTTGACTTTGTACGTCAATGAATGAAGCACTACAAATGCAAGAATAAACGTCTTTGCGACGTTACAACAACCAAGACAACAAAAAACCACTTGGCAAACGCTCACATACCTTAAAAACGCTTGTGAGCTTGTCGCAAGACAACTGAAAAAAACTTCAGATGCAAGTAGCACACCTACCCACAAATACATTACGCACCCGGCGTTTGGACCCTAAGCTAAGCTTGACCACCTCAATAGGACGCGTGTCTTATTCGAAAGCCCATGCAGTATTTGTGATTTCATCTATTGCGCTCAAATAGATAAATGTCTCTCAATCCTTGCACCTTAGTATCGGCTAGCAGTAAGAAGACGAGACCATCTATCCCAACTAGCCATACGTACACTGGAAATGGGACACCAATGGGCATGGACGAACGTTTGCATCGTTGGCGGCAGCCCAATAAGAAAAATCGTGAATTTTTGCAGTCAACAAACTCAGCAAATAAACGCGAACATGCGAGTCCCAGGAAGTAATTGAGAAGAAGACGAGTCGATTGCTGGGATAATACTTTTATTTGCCTGACGTTTCGAGATCCCTTGCCGAAGTACAATACCTTCGACAGGTGTTCAGAGAAAATGGCTACCCGCGGAACTTG